TTTGTCTTTTATTACACAGAAATAGGCTCAAGATTATAAATGCAGATGGTAGAAATGCTTACTTCATAAATAATAAATCTATTGAATTACTCAAATTGCTTGCAAAGGTCAAGAACCTGGTGGCTGTTTACTTATTATTCACTGTTCATATGGAGTTTATAAATTTACATAAGTGTTACAAGTTCTGAGGTAATTCGGTCAAAAAATCACTTCAGAATGCAAATAACTACCTAACAAAGACATAAACAGAAACAAGTGGTTCTAAAGCAATTTCCAGACAAAATGTCACCTGACATAAGGGTAGCAATTGTTTTTACTGTTAGGTTAAAGAAAAGTCTATGTCTTATGGCAAATGAGTGCTAGCTGTTTTGACATCCTTTTCAAAAGCTTGCTAACACAGACGTTTCTGAATCAACAAGGTGTAAGACTGAAGAAATTGTGCTACTGTTTTCATTACCTATCACATAGGCACTTTGATGAAGATGCACTGGAAGAGAAGGCTGCTTCTCTTGACTAAGCTCTGACACGAGATCTGCGGACACGAACCATCAAAACAGTCATTTTCACATTGCAAATGCACTTGGGCTCAGAGCATAGGTTACCACTGTTTGGATCAAAGTGAGTTAACTTTTTGAGCTATAGAAAACCATTGGGAATAGTTAGGAACACAATGCTGTCTCATAACTCCTCAGTTAGTGTTTCTGGGATAATGTCTGATTTTGGACAAATACAAAAAGCCAAGACACAAATGTGCAAACCAGATTTGAATTTTTTTTCTCTCTGTTGACATGAGATTTAAAACAGCCACAGGAACATTCCTAGGTCAGTGTCAATAGACAGTCACAAATTACCAAAGTCAGAAACAAACTGGAGTCCATGGGTGTGTGATTTTGTGTTTTGGCAAGGGAGAGACCTTGACATGTTCACAACATACAGGCCAAATCATAAAAATAAAAGAAGATGTATGATCCTATCATTTTCAAACAGCAGTGTTTAATTCTGACATCTTACAGATTTGTGATATCCTGACTTTTCCTTTAAGTGTTAAACCATACAAGTTTTAGCACAAAAGTACAACTTTTTTCTTTTCATGATGTTTGTGAATGAAGCAATCTTGAGGAAAGCTCAATTTCAACATTAGAAAAACCCTCAGACATAGTTATAAACAAATACGAGAAAATGAAAGCTGGAAAACATACAATATCATCAGAATTCAAGTTATCAAGAACCAGGAAGGATGACTAATAACTCCCCATAAACACTTCTTCCTGCCCTCATCTTATTTATTTACTTACTTATTTTTGAGACAGGGTCTCACTTTGTAGCCCAGGCTGGCCTGGGATTCATAGCAATCTAAGCCTCTCAAATGCTGAAATTACAGGTGTGAGCCACTGTGCCCAGCTTCTGTCTTAATCTAATGTAAACACATTTCAAAGAACAATGTTGACTAAAGAAAAAGAGTATCAGGATTCCATCGCAAAGAGATCGAACACGATGAAGTTTGACAAATGAGAAGTTCTGTAGTCTCTGTATCACTCAGGGTAGCTGGGAACTCTACTCCTCAAATAGGATGAAATCACTCCCACTCCTTGAAAATGTCTTAGGTACAGTCACTGCGTATTTCCCTAATGGAAACAGCATTTTCTTCTCTCTGAGGGTAATACTTTCTCTTTTTGGCACAACTGTCTTCACATAAATATAAGGTACCTTTTCTCAAGACACTTTTCCTCTAGTAACAGATGGCAGTTATACTGTATAACTTCATCAGACAAGTTTTATATTCTGAACAAACTTACTCTAGACAATGCATTCTTAGGTCCCAAACCTCAACACTCATGTTCTCGAACTCTTTCCTAACCACAACTTGATTTTTACATAATTTTCTAAGTCTAACACTTTCAAATACAATGGCCCAAAGGACTATTTTTAATATATCCTGAGTTAAATTCTTACAACAGGTATCACTGCTGCTTACGTCTTTTGGCCTATCCGGATACTTTTAGAGATTTTTGTCCTATCACACAAACTGCTAAAAGGGATATCAAAACTTTCTGCCCTTTGATTTTTCCTTTATAAGTTCAAAGTCTGCTTACTAAGGAGGTCAGATAAACTACTTATTTGGTAATTTTTTCTTACTGCATTAAATGACTGGCTTGGAAATAGCTAAGCAATTTTTTAGCTGCAGCCTAAAGTATGTAGTTTATACCAAACATCAACATAAGTACATAATTTCAGTGACATCTTCTTTTAATTACCTGTAATATTTTATCTTTTTTTGTAACTTAAAAAAAAACTTCCATTGAGAATTTCATACATGCATAAGGTTCTGATCAAATCCATGCCCACTCCCCTTCTCCAACACCTCCCTGATACCTTCTTCCTTCCTCCCTCCTTTCTTCCTTCTTTCCTTTTTATAATGGGGCTTTTTGTTACTCTAACATTCCCCCCTTCTGAAGAGGTAACCCTAAAATCTTTTAGGGATTAGATAAGAGCTCCCAAATACTTTTGACATTTTTGGACTTCGGAGCATAGTATGTTGCTAAGAGGCCCAAGGACATTTTGACTTTTAGCCAAGAAACTAGCTAGTTTTCTTTGGGGTCATTTTTTTACCCTAACTGCCTAGCCAATTCCTACCTCCTAGTCTTAACACACCATCCTCTGAAGAGGTTACCCCAATTGCTGATAGGGAATCCGGGACGGAGACCGCTTTGGCTTCTTCCATGTTGAACAGGGATGCAGGGTGAGGCAATCGGGATATCCCTTCAATGAGTCTATCTAAAAGACTCCCAAATTGCATAACTCTTATCACCACATTGGGGCAGGATCCAGGCACTCTCAGGTGGTTCCGAGTTCTCAGCCTCATTTTCTTATCTTTTTTTCAAAAATATTTTATTATTTTTATTTTATGCGTGTATTGCCTGTGTGTAGGTAAGTGCACCCATGTTGTGTAATGCCCGTGGAAGCTGGAAGAGGGTGGAACTGGAGTTATGGATAGTTAGCTGCCATGTGGGTCCTGGGAACCGAACCTGGGTCCTCTGCAAGAGCTCTTAACTGCTCACCCATCTCTCCCGTCTCGAAAAAAGGAAATTTTATGATTTGAAAACCTGAATAAAAATACTGACACTACTAATGAAACTAGGTATCCAAATCCTCAAAAAGAAGAACTGTGTATCTCTGAATTATATCAGTAATATTTAGAAATATTTAAAATATAACATAGGCATGGTAAGGTATTCCAATCATCTTTACTTAATCCTCACATCATCTCCATGAGAGAGTGACTTCATTCATTTTATAAGAGGATATGAAGTTTCGGGGAGGGCATTAACTTGCAGAAATGCACATATTTAACCCTCTGCAAATGACAGGCAGAATCATGATCTTGATCTTCTAACTACCTCATAGTCTGTCACACAGACACTGTATGGCTGTCTTATATAATGCTGCTTTTAATGATCTTTGAGGGTAATTCAGTTCTCCTGCTGTTAGCAGCCATCTCTAAGACATTTGAAGGTTTTGGCAAGAAGGGTTAAGATCCATACAAGAGAGAGGCTGGTAAAGGTATAAACCATGTCACTTTTTTCAGGGTAAGTTTTATTCCTATGTCTGATAGTTTATCCCAATGTTCTAACATCGAGGTATCCAGTCCAAAGGAATGTGCATCTAATAAACAGGATTCAGAAATGTAATCACATTTTAAGGAATTAAAAATTTTTTTTCTGGGTATTTCATACATAAAATCGTCTTTATACCCCCTTCCCCTTTGGCACCCTCCCATAGTCTCCCCCACTGGAGTTCATACAGGGAATGTACTATTTTTTTTTATATCACACATGTGGTACACACCTCTAATTCCAGCACTTGGAGGGCAAAGGCAGGAAGATCAGGCATTCAAGGTCAGCTTGAGGTACAGAGAGGTCAAGGCTAGCCTGGGAAAGACTGTAAGGGCCAGAGGAAGTGGATGACCACAAGGAAACAAACAGATTTTTCCATACAGCTGGTCAGTTACTTATAGAAACTCACAGCAATGGTGACAGCAATCCACAAGTCCCGTTTAAGCTCAAGTGAGACAAAATCCCAGCATAGCTGGGTGGTGGGTAAGACGCCCCAACCACATCTGAGGAACTACTGGCAACTGATGACTGTTGGGAAGGGAGATTCAGTCTCATTTAAGGGTGAGACTCTTAGTAGGTTCACCAGGCTTCAGTGGATGAACCCACACTGAAGGACATTTGGGACACAAACCTGACCCTATAGGCCTTTATAGATGTGTGTGCTGTATGTGTATTAGAGCTCAGAAAATTGGAGGGGGGGAGACTGGTAAGTGGGGGTGTAGATGTGGGAGGGAATCTAAATATGATCAAAATATAGTGTATGAAATTTGCAAAAATTAAAAAATTCAATTAAAAAAAGTTTACATATAAACAAAATAAAAGCTAAAGTTTTATATGAGAAAAAAGAAAATAAACTACTTTAAATATATTAAATTAAATGATTAGCATTTATAATTACTAAGGAATCTATAATCCACCTAGATAGACTGCTAACAATATGTATATTTACTTACATATACACTCAACCATTTCTGGAATACACTAGAAGATCTTATTCTCCTTTTCTAAGTGTTTTTACTCTAACAACTGGAAAAAGAAACATACACTCAAAGTGTAGAAGATACGATACACAGTAGCAACACTCCTTTAATAAAATCTTAAATGTGTGATTTTTTTCTTAATCATCATTATTTGGAGCTGAGCTGCTAAGTTGATTATATAGTCTTACGAGATGCCTAAAAAATATTTGAAGCTCTGTGGAGGTGCACATCTTTAATTCCAGCACTTGGGAGGCAGAAGCCTAGCCTACATAGTGAGATCTAGGCCTACTGAGGCTATAGGGAGATCCTGTATCAAACCCCAGCCCCCACCTCACCCCACCTCAAAAAAAGGGTATATGTACACATGCACATGTGGAATGGAATATGACAAAGAACAATAGGAAAATAATTTTCAAATCTTCACCATTTTATTTAACAGAGGCAACAACTGAGATATTTCTAGAGTTTACAGTATATTTGATATAAAAATAAGGAATTCTCCAAAATATGTACTAAAAATACAAAGTGTAGGATCAAAAATACAGAGAAAATTTATTCTATATTTCGGTAACCCAAAATAACAGCTTGTGGTCTCCTCCAACTGCACACAGTGGGAGTGTTCGATGCCAGGAGAGACCAGATCCAACAGGTACAGAACCAGTGAGGATGGGCTAAAAAACGGGTGGAGAATTAGAGGCATAGTAAATTCCAGTCAGAAACAATGAAAACCGCCTTTCCTCTTTTTAACAGTATATTTTACATTTAACAATTGCTTAGTAAATGTTAATTATTATTATTTACAGTAAACAAACAGTAAGTTTTATATATACAAGAACAGTATGAATAGTCAGAGACACTGTCACCAAGGAGCTATCTGAATAGTGAACCAAAGGATAGATGGGAGCCCATGAGACAGGTAACACAGGCGCTCTAGAAGATACAGATGGTCTCTCTAAACTACTTCCAAAAATAAGAAATGTACTGACAAATTACCTTTGTCTGTGGGGGAAATATAATTAAAAATATGCTTCCTCAGAGTTGATGTATACATTACTTATTTATACCTGACTTAAAGATGTAAGCCACCTATGAATAATAAGTCTAGCCAAGAATCAGGTATTTGTGCAGTGTACACAAGCCAAGCAAACAAAAACAACATATCTAAAGAAAGAGAAAATACAGATGCAACAGATGAAATATGCCTCTTAAACTAATTTTGGGAAAAAAAATCTGTTGCCATTGGTGATTTAAATATTTTTTAAAAACTTTCAGTCTAAGCAGATAACAGACATAAACATCTTTAGTTACTAATTCTAAATTTGGGAGCTATGGGTAGAAAAGCTGAAAATACAACAGAAAACCACAAATGCCAGAAACATTTCTTTTTACCTGAGAGTGTCCTAAATGATGGATCTGAAACTGACTTGTCATTTTGCCAGGATAACCAGTGGTTGCAAACAAGTTCTCACTAATTGCAGACCACCTAAGAAGAAAGCATAAAAATAAGTATATTGTCCCACAGGCCACTGTGAGCTTTCTGAAAACAGAATATTTCGTTCTGGGTAACAGCAGTAATTTCATCATCCTAAATCTTAATATGGCTTGCCATTAGACTAAGCTTCCAGTTTGGCTAGCTATGAATTCTCTCTCATTCTATAAAGATTTACGGGGTGCTCACTGCGAGTCACTGTATTGCTTTAAGGTTCAGCAAAGTCAGCACAGTCCCTTCCTTATAACCAAGGGTAACTGTGTGGAAGACACAGGCGCTGATTGGTCAGTTCTAAGTATTTTGAAGTTCAATACACTTAACAAATACATTTAATGTTTACTGACATTCCTTATTCTGTGATAGGCTTTAAATTTTAAATTAGTTGAGATGATATAACTCCTTGGAGTATTTAAGCCTTCAAGGTATCCTGGACATGTAGGTCACTAGATCCACTAGTCAGTGGAGTCCATGACTGGTATTTTAAGTGCAGCAAGGAAGGAGTAAGAAAGAGAATTCCCAAACAACAAGAGCGGCCAGTCTCAGACATTACTAAGTTCCTGATCAACAGTTATTCTGTCGTGTCCTTTTTTATATCCTAACTGAACCTTAATGCTGGGGCTACTGGCATGCACAGCCATGCCCAGCTTTTTAGGTGGGTGCTGGGGATTTGAACTATAATGCTTGCACAGTAAGCTCTTTTATCCACAGATCCATCTCTCTAGTTCTGAGTTCTTAGTGACACTGAGATGCTGCCAACCTGGGAAGGCCTCCTCTGGAGTTCTCACAAACCATACAAAATTGATTTAAAAATAGAGATTTGCTCACATCTCTGAAATTGGGATTATTTTATAATCTACAGCATTTTAATACTTAGACAAATATATTTCATTCGCAATAATAATGATGTCTCTACAATTGTACTGGGGATATTTTAGCTTTGATGAAAAATAGCATGTTAGAAGGTTCTACTAGTTTTAGTCTCTGTTATTTGGTTTTCTGTTACTTAAGGTTAAAGGGAGCTTAATGATTGTACAATACAATGGAATGCTATCACAAAACCAAGGGAAATATTAATTTAAGTTAATTTGAGTTCAACATGTTAAAGATATATACCATCTGGCATGTCCTTACTTAAAATATCACAGTGGGGTTTCTAGGTCAACATGGGCCTACGCAAACACATTTACCAGGACAGAACAAGAAGGAAGTCTAATATATCCCAACTCAAGGCAGTACTGATAGACCAGCAATACATTTTTCTGACTTATAAAATTTTTCTAACTATTTGAAAAATATTGAAAAATAAACCTCCTGCTTGCCTAAATGAAAAGACAAAAGCAAATACTTAGGTGGGAAAGCAAAATAACCCTTACAAAGAAAGTAGACAAAACTAAGCCAAGTTATTTCCAAACTCTAGTGCAAAGGAGAAGGCTGGGATATTATTCTGGTAGTGGTTCAATACAAGGTAAAAAATTCAGATTATAGCACCAACAAAAATGTCACATTACCTAAATAAGTGTGCTCGATCCATGTGAACAGGTCTCGTCTCTTGAGGATAACTAAAAAACAAGATTTTGCATTTTGCAAATTAAGTGTTAGATTACTGCAGATGAACTTAAGATTTTAAAGGTATTTTCTCTTTGAAGCTGAACATATTTAAATTTTAACAGAATTTCAAGTAAGCACTCAGTTGCAAATGGATGGAAAAAATGGTCGACATGACTTAGAACCACTACAGGGCACCACAGGGCCAGTATTTATCTTTCTTCTAATGTAAGTAAATATTTCTTAGATCAAAGATTTCCTTCTTAGCCTGTCCTTTCTGGGTTACTCTAAAGTAAATCTGCAAAACATGATTATGTTACATAAAATCCCACAGCGCCAGCCTTTCTAGAGACTTGTGAAAACTTGTATGTGGAGGCCCAAGAGCAGCCTGATGGATCACCAGGTACTGAAATTTTTTTGGTCTTTTTGAGACAGCATCTCTCCTTGTAGCCTCAGATAGCCTGGAACTCAGTATGTAGACCAGGCTGGCCTTGATCTCAGTCTCTGCCTCCCAAGTGCTGGGATTAAAGGTGTGTGCCATCACGTCTAGATAGTTACAGAAATCTTTATAAGTAATAGACAAACATACTAAATAACTACCTGGACCGAGTGATATCCCAAATTATCCAATCATTTCCTGCAACAGCACCGACTTTGAAGGTGTTTTTCAAGCACCAGTCTGCTGACATTAACGGCGTCTGTTCTGATTGAAGAGACAAAATAGCCTGTTGCGCCATCAGATCATAAAACCGAATTGTTCCATTCTTCTCTGCAACCATTAGCTGTAATACAGGGGGTGAAAAAAGGAATTTCACCATGTATCTTACTGGCTAAATCTGAAAAAGCTACAGAGATTTGATGTCGTGTAATAACATATAAGCATCTATATGTATGTCCAAGTGGAAGTGCAATGCGAAGGAAGTAAGAGGTTACATAAAAACAATTCTGTAAAAGACTCCCAGTTGCATAACTCTTATCTGAAGGGAGAAAAGAAAGTTCTTGACTGGTGAATAGGAGATGTGAAGGAGAAGTAAAGGCAAGAGCAGTTAGCATTACAAGTTCTAGACAGGGAACCAGGAAAAAGAACAGGGCAAATTTCAAATGTGCATATGAGAGTCCGCTGGGATTTCTTGACGAGCACTTCCAAAAGCATCCTTCTATTGGGTTCCTCCTCATTTTTCTTACCTCTTCAGAGGGGGTAATGTTAGAGTAGTAAAAAGCACTATGAAAGAAGAAAGAAAGAAAGAGAAAGAGATAGAGAGAAAGAAGAGAAAGAAGAAAAAGAGAGAGAAAAAGAATACACAAAGTTGTAAGAAAAAAGCGATGGGGAGATATGGGAGGTGTTGGAGGGGAGGGACTGGGCATGGATTTGATCAAAACACCTTATATACATGTATGAAATTCTCAATAAAGTTTATTTTTAAAGTAAAAAAAAATCTGTAAGCACAAAATCACTTTAGAGGAAATTGTCAAAAAGACTCAAAAAAATTAAGTAAAATTTTAAGACACTGTGCTTGGTTTCTAGGAAGACCAAGATTTATTCTGGGAGAAGTTACCTTTAAGTTACGTTAGTTACTTGTCTAGATCGGTCATTCTGCATCTCCTGACAGGTGCTGTATTTTACATATCTTTACATAATTTAGACTTGTCTGTAGACAAATGGAAGAGACATGGAACAGCTGGAGAGGATGGCAAGGTGGCTGCCTCTTCCACTTAAACACTGAATGACTTACGATGGGACTGGCAGATCCCTTATTTCTGAAATGGAGCTGTAAGGACAAGGCTAGCCAAGATGGAGCCATGTGATGAAGGGAGAATGAACCACAGCATCCCCAGGTTTGGCACCCATGTCCTACCTCAACGCCATAATGTCCAAAAGAAAAACTGAAGTGGATGCAGAGGAGGAAGGGCCAAGGCCAAGCACAGGGAAGAGCCACGTGCCTGTCCTGTCTGCTAAACCTGCTCCTCCAAAGTCAGGTCCCAAGCCTACAAAGGCCCCTGCATGAAGGGAGAGACTGACAGTTCTGCCATTCCCATGTCCTCAACAGAAGGGGTGGTGTATACAGTGCTATTAAACGTGAGGTGAAGGTTAATACTGATTCACCGGAGACAAGCCTCGGAGACAAGCTTCTGGGAGGCCCGAGGGGTTTTCTAAATTAGGTTAGCTTCTGGGCATGCCTGTGAAGGAATGTCTAGATTAGGTCAACTGAAGGGGGAAGATCTACCTGTACCCCAGTGACATCATTCATGGTCTGGGGTTCCAGAGTGCATGAGGAGGAGAAAACCAGCTGAGCACTGCCGTCCATCACTCCACCTCCTGACTGCAAATGCACTATGACCAGCTGTCTCCCATTCCTGTCCCTATTTTCCCAACATGATGCACTTCTCAAAGTGTAAACCAAAAGAAACCCCCTTCCTTGTTGCTTTGGTCAGGCATTTTGTTGCAGCAGTGAGCAAAGTAACTAATATACATGCCCAGTGTGAAATGTCAACCACCACTGTAAACGTCCCCTGTTCAGAGCATCAAATGAAGATTTCACTGGATTTTATAGCGTCTTTCTAATTTTGTAGTCCACACAAGAAGGGAGTTTGAAAGTTACCATATAATGTTAATGATAGCCCGTGTCCTGTCTGAACTATCATGACAGTCTATTAAAACACGTGGGAAAAAAAAATAGCTGTAGGGCTGATATGAAAAGCACAGTTACTGTGGACTCTCAGAGCAAGCGGCTCTGACTGCTTCAGTGCTGCTTCTATTCTAAGGTCCCAAGGATCAAGTGTTTAACAACCACTGTATACATGTATAAAATAATCAAATGTGTAAATTGATGCAATAAACCTCAATTTTATAAAAACTACAATCATGAAAGTTGTTTCTTAGCTCAAGGAAGCACGACACTGGGATACTCACGTACAGCAGACAAGGCTGATGTAACGACGTAAATGCACAAATACATGATGTCCAAAGAAAGCGTTCTGAAAAATCCTCTACCTCTTTTGCAAAGCCCTTTCTTTTTGAGAAAGTTCTTTTAATTTTGATTAGGTTAAGGTGAAGACATTCTTGAAGGTGTGAAATAAACAGTGGTTGAATGGAAAGAATGTGGAAACTGGCATCAAAAATCCTGGGTTTAACCAGTTTCTTTGTTAAATGACTTAAGAATGCTTTAAAATTATCTGCAGAATTAGGGAAAATTAAGACTCAAAAAATTATTATATGGCTAGGAGGTAGGACTATTTTAGGAAAATACTATTGCATTATAAAGGAGCATTTCCATCAGGGCAAACATATTTGGTACAGGGATTTAGGCCTCATTCAAAAGTTCATACAAGAGTTCTTTACTAAGCACCTATTATATTTAAGCATAGAGTCCACTTTCATCATTTATGGTAGTTATGTGCTAAAAACTTGCTACAAACACTAAATTAGTGAATATGGAACTATTGCTCCTAGGGTAAATACAGGGTTAGGGTCTCAGGAACATCTGGTTACATCATTTTTAATAACCAATTACTATATAGTTTTGTGTTTTTGCTTAAAGGCACTTTATATAATAAATACTGGTTCATTAAAACAGACTTCATGGTTAGCAATTCACGAACAAAGCTCATCTAACATGTCTATATTCTCTATAAGGCATGCCATAGCCTTCTTGCACTTATGGACACTAGACAGCAATTCAACACTGTGTTTGAAGCTATGTTAAACGGTGCAATTACCAAGGAAGAGTCAATAAGGTAAAACATGTGGCACTGAGTAGTTACTTCTTTAAAGTGGGAGGTAAAAGGAAAAGGTGTAATGCTATCTTGTTTGACCTTAGCTGGGAAGGTGCATATTAGCAGACTCAAATTTTTGCTGCCCCGTGCATGTCTGTGATCATAAAAGTGCTATGAATACCAATTTTGGAGCTACAAATCATTTTTAATGAGAACTTGCAAAAACCTGTGAATGTTCTGTATGAAACACACAAAAAAATTCAATTAAAAACAAATTTAAAAAACGAAACAAAACCAAAAAACCCTGCGAATAATGAGGATGGACTGTACCCACAGACATGTCAACAGTGTTAATTCCAAGAGAGGTCAAAGATAAAAAGAATGATCCTCCATCTCAAGAAAATTCTCATTGTGTTAACTGTTGAATCTTAATGTTTCGTACTTCCCAGATCACACAGTTTTTATGTAGTATCTACCTCAGTGATTTCCAGTACTTTTCAGGTAGGTAATCATGGCCCCATCTTTCTCTCTGGTTGAGTAATTTTCATCAAATCAAGCATAAGGAAACAAGTGGGCTTGATTTGATAAGGCACACTGATGAGGGCCACTAGATTGCCATAGCTGCATTAATGCCACTGACAATGTCAAGCAGCCAAAACTGATTGCTTTTGGACTTTTAAAGGAGTTTACAAGATGAGGCAATAATCACATAGCTAGCAGTAGATGAACTGAACTGTCTCCAGGCAGTTTACACCAAAGTCCACACCCTAGATCACGTCTTTTCACCACATCTCTCCAGTCTAGGATTCTGAGTTTAGGAGTGACTTATGAAATTGGTACGTCAAGAACGTTAGCTGGGTAGACAAGAAGGCTCAAAAGAGAGTCAGAGACTTTAGAAAGAAATCTAGACTTAGTAGAGTGACAAGAGACCAGGAGGGGAAGATGTACCTTACTGAAGACAGGGAGGTCTAGAGTTGTTAACTATGAAGGAAAAATTAAAGGACGTTAGTAAGTTTGTGTATAAGGAAAAAAAAAAAAAAGGTGACTTTAGGATTACATACAAGTATGCATACATGCAAACATGCATGGTTAAACACCTTACTTATGAATCTGTGTTATTTATAGCAGGAACTTCCAGACATCTAAAAATCACAGAAACACTAAATAAAAAAGGAGGGACATAGGGTGAAAATTTAAGAATCTGTAGAAGAAAAACAGACATTAAGGAAAAGCACATGGAATAAAGGGACCTAGAAGCTGGACACAGGGGCTCATCTTGCAATCTCAGCACTTGGAGGTGACACAGAAGGATGGTAAATTAAGAGGCCAGCATGAGCTACACAGAAAGACCTTGTTTCAAAGCTAAAACCAAAGAAAGTAATCTGAAACAATAAGCAATCATTAAGCTAGTTTCTCATTTACGTCACAGCTTTTTAAACAGCAGTCTTATTGCTACTGTAGGTAAGTGTGGTAATAGGAACGTTCTGGTAGAATTCCTGATTACACATCAAGTAGATTCACTGCCTGAGGGACAAATCCACGTGAAAAAAACAAAATTAAGGCTCTGGATTAAGAAATAATACCAATGCACTGAATATGAACAAATCAGGACATTTTGCTCTATACATATCTCGAAAATCATTCTGATGAAAGATCTAATAGGCTAGAAACAAATTTCAATGCAATCCAGGCTCAAAGAACAGTTACTCATCTTAGGGTTTATTTCTTCTGTGAAAGCTGTGAGATTAGATTAGTCCTTTCTTAGGTCCAGTCTTTTCTTTCCTTGCTTCAGTCTTTTGTTTTTGTTGATTTTTTTCCCCCCACTGCCCTCCCCTCCCTCCCTCCCTCCCTTTCTCCTTCCCTCCCTTTGTCAGGATCTTTACATAGTTCATGCTGGCTCTGAACTCATTAATGTAGCCCAAGTTAGCCTCAAACTTGCCATCTTCCAGTTTCAGCCTCCCAAGTGCTGGGATTACAGGTATGAGCCACCATGTCTAGCTACCAGCGTTCTGATAAATGGGTTTTAAAAAACTTCCAACATTTATATTTATTTACATGTTTTTATTCCTCATACATTAGCATAACCTTAAGGCAGAGATCATCATATTCATTCCTTTAAACCATTACAAAAAAAAAAAAAAAAATACAGTAGTTATGTGAACCCAGCCCTTGGAACAATCCACAAATATGTAAGAAAAGTTGACAGTATACAAAGGAAAAGGAACATAAAGAGATACTCAAGAGGGCTAGAGTTTCAAGGAGGTGGTCAACAGTGTGAAAAAATGCCTTGGATTTAAGAATGAAGGAATAAGGGCACCCAATCTTCTGTAAAGAAGCCCCTACCCTATGTTCTATTAATAAGTCCAATAAACTAGTTAGGATTTAAAAAACACCCCCAAACAGAAACAAACAAACTAAAAAAGAATAAAGGAACAAAATCCACTTATGTGTTGGAAATATCACTGGTAATTTTTGAGAGTATTGGCAATTAAATGAAATGACAAAGTTAGACCAAGGGATGGACAAAGTGCAACTGAGGTTAAAGGGTGATCGCCTTGATGACCTACATCTCCCACATAGATCCACTCAGATAAAAACTAAAATCTAAGCTCTGCAAATGAGGAAGACCATGGGTCTCAGTCTGACTTATTTTGATCAACATAATGATTTTTCCTTCAATCCACCATCCTGTAAATGCCAGGACATGATTTTTCCCTGTAGCGGAATAATAAGATTCTCCTGTCTTATATACCATATTTTCTTTATCCATTCACCTGTTGATGGACATCTAGGCCACTTCTACTTCTTAGCTACTGTGAAGAGTGCAGCAATAATCACTAGACATGTATGTGACTGTATGTATGTGGGCCATGCAACTAGAAAGCTGAACATGAGAGAAGAGAAGAGCTTGAAGGGAGGGTGATGGAAAACGTGACGAGAAAAGGGAGTGGGGTGCAGAGGCGGAGTAAGGGGAGCAGCAGGCAGTGAGGAGGATGGGGGTGCGTGAGAACAGTAAGAACCAGGATTATGCCTAATGAAATCCAGTACTTTGTAGGCTAATTTAAAGACTAAAAAATGTATCCAAAATGTTAGAAATAAAAGAGCTTAAAATTTAGAGAGAAGTTGGAAGTGTTAAGAAAATAAAGCTTCAACACTGGGTTTGTTATGATTAATCAAACATATTTTTTCAGAGAGATGAATATGGTTCTTAAATTCCAAGGAGAAGACGACAACTCGCAAATAAATAAAACTTGCTTAATGGCTCCTATTTTCCCAATGGAGTAGGAGTTAAGGCTGACTAATAACAAGAACCTGTAGTGTGTCTTAGTATTTTAGAAAGCTCTACTCTGAATGGAACTAAGGGCCACCTACACAGGACAAATCTGCTTTCTGCCACTGTTGTTTTCTGTTTATATATTTTGGCTCCCAGCTTGGATTTAACTTTTTGGTTTTTTAACCTGCATACTGCCAACTAGATTATCTGGGAACCAGGTTTCAGACTGTAATCTGCCAAAGGTCAGGAAAGTACACTTTGCACAAATGCCATTTATGAATGACGGTTATCAAAAACAATTTCAGAGAAACTCTTAGAGTCCTATATTAATTCAAATGTATTTATGCCAATCAGATTCTGAGGTGGGAAGCCACTGGCTCTTCTTTTTGAGTGTAGGGACTGTGTCTGCATGTGTCTGTAAAGCTTAATCAAAGAAAACTAAGTTACAGATAATGACCTTAAAAGCGTCTTCAGGATGCCAGCACACACTCATTCCGGGAGAATGAAGAAGAAAATGAGCTGTTTGCTTTCCTTCCAAGCTCCAAATCCTAATAAAAGGAGTACGATGGTAAATATTCTTGATATATCACTATTAAAGGAGGAAAAAATCCACAAATATATTCAAAACCATTAAGATCATTAAGGTAGACATCTGCATTGGATACATATTTTTTGTTGCTATTGTTTATTTTATTTTTGAGATATGGTCTCCCTGTAACCCCAGCTGGCCTGGAACTCATTATATAGACCAGGGTGACCTCGATCTCACAGAGATCCTCCTGCCTCTGCTTTCCAAGTACTGGGATTAAAGGTGTATACCAGCCACCAAGCCTGGCACTGAACACATGTCTTGAAGAAAATTAAAACACCTCTGTGAGAAAATCTAAAAGTAATAAAAGAATTTGAGTTTCCAGGCCATTAATCAGGTTTCATGCCTACTTAAGTAGTTATTTCAATTAACCGTCATTCCTATCAGGGGTGCTTGCTTATTTTCTCTCTCCCTCACCCTCTCCTTCTCTCTCCCTTCCTCTCTCCTCTCTCTAGACCAGCAGCACTTCCATGTAATGAAATAGAAGGCAGGAAGAAGAAAGAAAACCAACTTCTAGTTAGCAGAGTTTTGCTGATGGCCCTTGTTCTGGAGGCCAGAGTAACAGGAAGTCAGAGGAGGAGTTTGGCAGCAGATATCCTGGATCAGTCAACAAGGACCTTGAAACAAGTCCGGCCTCTCTTACACAGTGATCTACACAGTGATAAGGCAGTGAGAGGCGGAGCTCCAGGTCTCTTACAGGACACAGTTCAGCCAAAGTAGGAACAAGAGATGGCATAAGTCCTGGATGCCAGAAGTGGGCATGGTGGGAAGGGAGAGAG